TATTTTAATACCAGTCTTTTTTTTTTTTTGCTTTTTTTTCCATATTCTGCCTGTTAGCCAAGCTCAACCTCAGGTGCAGGTGCAGGATGAAGAAATTACAGAAGATGACCTCCGCCTTATTCATGAGAGAGAATCTTCTATTAGGCAACTTGAGGTAAGCTTTGTGTGGCCATTGGGTGGCAGCTGTGTTCTCAGTGTGTTTGTGACAATTCTGGGGGAGGGGCTGGGAAAGAAAACTAAATGTATCAGTGTGGGGGTATTTCTTACCAATGAGAATAATTCCCTTTTAAAAAATAAATCTCTTTAGAATTTGTGCTAAAATGAGAGACCCGACCTCCCTCGTCTCCAGATTTGTTTTTTATCCTGTCAGGTCACCACCACAGGTCCTTCACACGGAGGAAATCTCAGTTCAGAGATGTGTGTTCAGGGAGCCTGGATGGCTTCTGTAGCACATGGTACACCTCAGACCCGCATGAGTGAGACTGGACAGGGGCTTGACACGTATCTTATTTCCCTGTAACATGTTCTTGACCTCAAAGAGCTCTAAAGGGATTAGTAAGCCTCAGTTCTTGTGGAACCCACCTATTCTCTAGAAGGTGGGCTGATAATAGCTAACAGTAGCTACAGTTTATTAAGGGTGTTCAAGCCCCATGTGATCAATTTTTTGCATGATCTCATTTTAGTTCCCCTAAAAACTGTGAAGTAGTTAACTATGTTGTCATCATCACCATTTTATAGGCGGGGAAATAAGGCACAGGATGAATATGTAAATTGCCCCCCCCCATAAAATATTTAAACTTTATTCTTTAATAGGGCAAAATAAAAGTTATTGTATATTAAAGAAAAGTAAATTTATAACTTCTTCATCACTGTTCCATTGCATAATCAAATTTATTAATGTGAGACTTTAAATTTATACCTAATGGTTTGTACTTTTACAGTGTCAAATTGATGTGTAAGTTTTTACTAGAAATATAGCCTAACAATAATTTGTTTTACTCTTGTGAGGAAATACTGCTAGTGATAACAAAACTATCAGATTACATGAACATAAACTCAGTAACCCAGGGCCCTTCTCTCATAGATTCCTGGTTTCTATGCTGCCTCGTTTGGTATTTTTAACGTCACAAACTTACTTTTAAAGAACTGGTTACAGTTGTTCAAGGTCATGTTACTTAGGATTAATTATAGTAAAGTAGTTTCCTGATATTTCCAAAATTTATGGTTTAAGTCTACATGCATTCTCACTTAATTTTTGCCTTTTGTGGGTTGGGGGCTGAATTTCTGATTGTGATAATATGTGCTTTTTTCTCTCAGGCTGATATTATGGATATTAATGAAATATTTAAAGATTTGGGAATGATGATTCACGAGCAAGGAGATGTAATAGGTAAGCCCTGCTGAAGTAGGAACAGTCTATAGCAATTTACCTGTGATAACTTCTTTTTTGTTTTGTTTTGTTTTTATTTTTGAGAGAGAGAGAGAGTGTGTGGGTGGGGGAGGGCCCGAGAGAGAGGGAGACAAAGAATCCAAAGCAGGCTCCAGGTTCTGAGCTGTCAGCACAGAGCCCAATGCAGGGCTCGAACTCACAAACCACAAGATCATGACCTGAGCCGAAGTCGGATGCTTAACCGACAGAGCCACCCAAGTGCCCCCCCCACCTTTTTAAAAAAAATTTTGTTTATTTTTGAACGAAAGAGACAGAGCATGAGCTGGGGGGGCAAGAGGGAAAGGGAGGCACGGAATCTGAAGCAAGCTCCAGGCTCTGAGCTGTCAGCACAGAGTCCCACCAGGCTCAAACTCAGTGAACCCCAAAATCATGAGCTGAGCCAAAGTCAGATGCTTAACGGACTGAGCCACCCAGGTGCCTTTACCTGTGGTTACTTCTCAACCGAGAGTAACCCCTCTCTCTTTCAGACCCCCTAGTATTAAAAGCACAGCCTCTGCAACAAAGCATTACCCTTGGCATTATCTAAAACAGATCTTCTTTTTGGCTCCTACTGATCAAATCAACCAGCTTCATTTATTTGAGTCTCTAAATCTAATCAGAACCTTCTGCTGCAGAGACCATGGAAGGCACCACATAGCCTCATTGCCACTTATTTGCAGGACCCCTGGTTTCCATCTCAACCCCTGTTAATTCTCATCCCACCAAGCACTTTCTGCGAAACTTGTGCTATTTATAATTGTGCATGCTATCTTATCTTTTAGATTAGAAGGAATAGGTAGCTATTTGCCTAATCATTTATTCTAATATCTTTTTGGTAGATTAATTTAGTTGTATTAGATGGTAAGCATTCTTTTATAGATTCTTTTAAAAAATAATCAGTGACTAAGACTCCCTATAAGTTTTAAATGTGATAGCTTTTCAGTTAAGGTATAACTATCTGGACTGATCAAAATCCTGACCATTTTTATCATTTGGAAATATGAAGATACCAGTGGATGTATCTAAAGGTACATTCAGTATATTTTCTGAATTTGGTTCAGTTTAAATACTTGGACCTATACTTTGCTACAAATAAGTATTTTGTGTCCATTCTTACCCTTCTCTGTAGTTGCAGTAGGTCACAGGATAAAATTTCAAAAACCAGTTCTTTCATTCATCCAGTCAATATTTATTGAGTGCCTAGTATATACAAACACAAATCTAGGCATTGGGGATTTAGCTGAAATTAGACAAATGGTAAAAGACCCTGCTTTCATGAATCTTATAATCTAATTGGAGGAGAGAGAGAATTTTTATAAAAGGAAAGAAAAGTAGGTAAATGCTGATTAGTGCTATCGGGGAAAATAGCAAAAGTAGGAGGATGGGGCTGCTTGCAGTAGAGAATGTTAACGGCTTTTCTAGGGTAGTCGGGTAAGACCTTACCGGTAAGTGACATTTTAGTGAAGACTTCATGAAAATAAGGGAGCAAGTGAAAGAAAATCTTCTAGGCAGAGCAAAGGACAGGTGCAAAGGCCTTCAGGTAGAAGCATGTCTGATGCTTTTGGTGAGTGAAATGAGTAAGAGGGAGTGGGAGATGATGTCAGGAATCATAAAGTTCAGCATCATATAAGATCCTGAGCCATTATGAGGACTTTTATTATTACTAATGGATGGAAAGCCACAGGAGGATTTGAGCAAAGTGTTATCAGCTGACTTAGTTTTTTGTTTTTTTTTTTTAATTGTATTGTATTGTATTTTGAGAAAGAGTGAGTGCACATGGAGGAGAGGGGCAGAAGGAGAGAGAAGGGGAAGCAGAATCGTAAGCAGATCAGAACTCAGTGTGGAGCCCGATGTGGGGCTCGATCCCACAATCCTAGGATCATGACCTGAGCTGAAATCAAGAATTGGATGCTCAACCAACCAAGCCACCCAGGCACCTGCCCTGACTTAGGTTTTAAAACACTCACACTGGCTACTAGTTTGAGAGCAGACTATCAAAGGGCAAGACTAAAAGCAAAGAGACCACTTAAAAGGTGATCGCGGGGGCGCCTGGGTGGCGCAGTCGGTTGAGCGTCCGACTTCAGCCAGGTCACGATCTCGCGGTCCGTGAGTTCAA